GGTTACGGTACGGTACGGTACGGTACGGTACGGGTACGTAGTACTAGTACTATAGACATAATATCACCCCCCCCCCCCCCTCCCCCCCCACGCAGTAGATTGTACTGTAGCTTCACAGTCTACATAGTAAAAACGTGATAGTGGTAATATATTGTTAACCTTTTCTAATATTCTTGAAGGGATTGTTCCCCCCGTAATTATTATAAGCAAAGTTCTATATATTTACATAGTTTTGACTCAGACTTGTGCGTATTTATGTACATAATACTATATATACAATATTTTGGATGATTTTGTAGAGAGTTAAACTCATACTTACGATAAAAATTTAAATTCGTTAATATTAAACCAAAACAGGCGTAAGTTTTATCTATTACTGTTTTGAAGGTATAGACATAAGTTGAAAATGTGTTAAAATACCGTGGATATTCATAAAAATGTGCAGGATATAAATGTTTATAAGTAGGCAAGATACTTGGATTTCTTCGACATGGAAAATGCGCGTATCATCGCATATATAAACATCGCTCATTTAAAATTAGAAATAGTTTCAGAACATGAAAGACTCCTCAAGAAGTATATAAGATATTGAATAAATTATTCGTCAGTGTAGGTTTGATCGAAAGATGACTGTTAATAATGTGTGTTTTGGTATCTTTAAAGATATATATACACATACATACGATTCTTTAAAGTAATTAAATCGGATAATGTGTTGCGCTGCAAGGTTCGAACCGTGGTGCAGCTAAACATGCTCTGTATTTCCAGCTATGGCCAAATTTATAAATAAGGAAGTCACTGCCGTTATTTAGATTGAAAAGCTGGACAAAGCCCTTGTGGCGGCAGGTGCTGCTAACTGGCTGCTATCCTTCTAGTCAGTGGCTAAAAGTCATGGGCAGTTAAGCCTGAATCCTTAACAGTGTCTGTTCGTTCCATACTTTCTTATAAGACTAGCTGCTCCTAATTTCGAACTCACAGACTAGAGAGAAGACGAATAGTGGGAGGGAATTATTGCACGATCCCCTAGATGTCCAACTAGCATCTATCACAATACCCGATGTTTCTGGCCATTTGAAATGTGTACATCTGTAGAGTTACTTGTAACAGCCATAAAGTCAGTCTTCGAATCAATTCTCCCTGGAGATTTTACATGTCAACATTACCTGACGAAATACGTAAAAGTGATTTTGGGCGTCAGTGGAAATCATTTATAATAAAATAAACACTTCTGGAATTTTTTAAAAGTAACAGGATTTTTTCTTCACTTGTCTTTCTCTCTCTCTCAATAAATAACACTTCTCTCTTTTTTTCGGTATTTTAACATTTTCTCATATTACGTTTTTGTTTCTCTTTCTGTATATAATCAAATTTTCAATAACTTATGTCGCTATTGTTCACCTCAATGCACAAAATGAGCCAAACGGACAAGTGAGACACCCTTATGGTTGAGGCATAGCCGTTCTTAATTTTAAAATGCGAGTCAAAGGGGAAGGCAATCAGTCGGCAACAACTACCCCCTAAAGCGGCTATTCTAAAATAAATAACGGTATTAACTTCACTCTTATAACGCTGAATATATAGAGCGTGTTCAGTAACAGTACGTTTCGAATTCGAGACCTTCAGTGTATCAGTTTTTCTTAAACTTCCAGATGCATTACAAATTTAACACACACAACTGTGATCATTTATAGAACAGTACCGTGTTTATTAATGAAGAAAATGGTTTTATTTTTCAGACACAATTAAGTCACTACAGAGTTATCCGTAGAAGCATGCCTTTTAAAAGTTCCGAGGAGTTCGTTTAAAATCTAATTGATCCATTTGCAAAATGGTTGTAAGCAAGTGAGACTATAAATGACTTTGTTGACAAAGATCTAATCTGATTATCGCTTGAAGTTTGTGAGTAATTAAATATGAAAATCTCAAAGTTCGTTACTGTAGTTATCAGATTTCTTGCAGACACGATTGCATGTTTACACCATGCAATTATTTTTATTAGATTTTGCTTTATCTTTTTTTCTGATACATTATGCATAAAAGTATAAGAACTTTATCATAATACGCTTCTCCATCTGGTTTTGAAGTTTCGATAAGGTCTTACCAATTTCAAAACTCCAGTTTGTTTGTTTGTTGTAAAATAGAAATACACCTCTTTTCCACTCAATTATTTGCTGTTAAGCGCAAAGCTGCACAATGGGTAATTTGCATTATGCAGGGATCAAACCCCGATTATGGCGTTATAAGCCCTTAAACTTTCAGCTAAGCCACCAGAAGCCTTTCCACTCAAATGATTTTCACTCAACATGTTTCTGTTTTAATCAAATGTTTTTTTCTTTACAAAGCCCAATTAGAAAAATAATACCCGACAATGATTAACATTCATCATAAACAAACACCTTTCAATGAAACATCATTGGGCAGAACACAGATACTTCATTGTGTAGCTTCGTGCTTAACTCCAAACAACAACAACTTATGGCGACATTCGCGAATGTGAAATCCGTGGATAAATGAGGTGTCATTGCGTAAGACTAGAATGAAATACGGAACCAAATTCACCGAAGATGTTTGCAACAGTTTCAAAGTGATTTAAAACTAGTTTAATTTCATATTATTCCATTTTCCTACATTTCAGGAAAATACGTAAGTTTCTTTATACATTCGCGTTTTTTTAACTTTTATCAATTTCTTGTTTCTGCTCCTAAATTAAAGCTACGCATTTTCGCTTTAGATCTACCATTTCTATAGCGTTTGTATACTCTGCAAGCTCGCGCTTGTTGACAAGATAGTAAGTGCAATTTGTTCTAGAATGAAGCATGCATCTTTTATTGTCTTTGCAAGTGTTTTGTGCGCGCTCGCACATTGTGTCTCCATTTATGAAATTCGGTGGGGAAGGGAGGGGGAAAGAGATAACCGAGGTTACGGATGGATAAATGATGTTCTACTGTACATCTCTGTACATCTTATACATTTCAAGCGAAATAAGCATTCGAAGAGTGATAAGAATGTTCTTTTTTTATCCTTCGTCTGCCTTCACTTTTCTACCATCAAAGTCGGAATGTATTGAATGCAGCGTTCAGATTTTAATCACGATGAGAAATAAGCTCATTATCTTCGAAATTAGTTTTAGTAACTAAACGTCATATCTAATCAAAAAATTAACCATTTTGTATGAAAAGCAATTAACATTTTAAATATATAAACAACTGACTGCAGTTTGCCTAATAGGACTCGTATATGTATAAAAGTATTCGTTTCCATGTACAGAACGTCTAGAGGCACGGTAACGAGTCCAATTATTAGTGACATCTATAGAGGAACAAGTCTAGAAGCTGAAATTGCTTATATAGAGACATTCAAATATTCTTTAATCACAACAAAAATATTATTAATACGAAGAAAATGTATTTATTTATTTACTATTCATTCTTAAAATGGTATCAGAAACGTCAATGGACTTTTAAACTTTAAGGTTTAAATGTAGGCCTGGTGATGCTATGTGACAGTGCTAAATTAATCAGATTTTAGTAAAACTGAAAACGGAAGGAGGATTGCTTGTTTTGAATTTCGCACAAAGCTAAACGAGGACTATCTGCGCTAGCCGTCCCTAATTTAGCAGTGAAATACCAGAGGGAAGACAGTTAGTCATCATTACCCACCGCCAACTCTTGGGCTACTCTTTTACCAACGAATAGTGGGATTGACCGTCACATTATAATACCCTCACGGCATGTTTGGTGTGAAGGGGATTCGAACCCGCGACCCTCAGATTGCGAGTCGAGCGCCCTAACCACCTGGCCATGCCGGGCCGCGGAAGGAGGAATGGGGTAGAATAAAACAATTTAATACTAGAAATAAACGACCTTATAACACCAAATTGTTGTTTGTCTTTAACTGGACATTCAAAGTTTCGCTTTACAGCTTCTTCGGGAGCGTTCCACTAAAATACAAACCGTAAATGACAGTATAAAAACTTGCAACTATTTCTGAGTAATCTGACGATGTTGATTCTAAAAACATCACGTTGAAAATTACTGATCACCTCTTGCGTTCGAGTTATGATGGATTTATTTAAAATATTATGATATATCATAAAAATAACTTTTTTCTTTACTAACTTTATTTATTCATTGAAAATTGCATTTAAGAACGTATAATCTGCATGCTTTGATAAGTTTCTTTCATTTTCACAGCATGAGCAACAGGAATCGATGGCTTAGTGTTCCCATTGTGCAAAAGTGCACCTTTCAGGCTAACTTTACAAGAGTCGATGAAAGTCTTCATTCTCGAGGATGATTTTCAGTTCCTAATTCTTCCATTAGTGTATCAACATGTTGTAGTGAGAAGCAAGACTTTGATGGCGACTTCGGTAAGCTGAAACTTTTGTTCCTGGAGCTAAAAATTCCATTGCTGTAAACGAGAGTCATGAAGTTCTCCATAATGCTTTGATAGAGACAAGTCACGAATCAGATCATTTAGGTCTTCCTGTGTGATCAGATGAGGCAGTTTATGTTGAGGTGCTACAGGAACAGAATTACTAGATGAAGAGGATGAAGGTGATTCATTGTTTTCTTCGCAGGATAACTCTTCTATTTACCAACTCGCTGGTGGATGAGTCACTGGAAGACCATCCCCACGAGGTATTGGTTTCATTGCAAATGCAATATGTGGATATTTAATATATTGTTTAGTTTTGCCTGAATATCCAGAAACATTAATCATGCAAAAAATAACAGTCAGTTAGATTATCTTTAGGATGATTTTTGCACTGTTGGACTTTACTTGAACTGGAGCCAGCCAGCATTTCAAATGATTTTCTAAAAATATAAAAGAATTTATGTTTATAGAACTAGTTTAAAATAATTAAATAAACAAAGTTTTGCATAATTTGATTATATCGCAGGTATGATGCGAGGAAAAAGATCGGGCTTTGTTTTGACTGTGCGCGGAACGAGGCGAAGTGACAAACTGAGTGAGTGAGGGCAACTTTTATGCTCAGTCAAAGGATTTCTCGAATGTTCTAGGAAATTCAACACGTGAGGGTTTCGTGATTCCCGGGTGGAACAGGTGAGCGTGGGAATGAAGCAAAAGTGGTGCAATTTGCTACAATTATACCGAAAACAAATAGCATTGATGAATAAGATATTTGGAATTTTACAACAATACCATACAGTTAATGTTTGAAGTTATAAAAAAAATGTATGACTTTTACCCATTAAACTGCCCAAGTAAACTTAATTTCACAGCATAAACATCTATTGTACTGAGTTGATAGCATGGTATTTTACATAATGCTGATAAAATATTAAGATATTATAAGAACTCAAACTCTAGGTGTGATAGACAAATTCTGATTACATTCTTGAAATCAACACCATAAAATTACCTCAAACCACTTGAGTTTTCTCCTATAGCAATTTTTTGTTGTCCAGTGTCAGATAACCAGATAACAACCAGGTGTCAGTTTACGTCAGGCAAGTAGTGTACAATGTCAGATAACCAGATAACAACCAATTGTACACTACTTGCCTGACGTAAACTGACACCGTTAGATAATCAGATAATAAACAAGTGTCAGTTTACGTCAGGCAAGTAGTGTACAATGTTAGATAACAAACAAGTGTCAGTTTACGTCAGGCAAGTAGTGTACAATGTTAGATAACAAACAAGTGTCAGTTTACGTCAGGCAAGTAGTGTACAATGTTAGATAACAACCAGGTGTCAGTTTACGTCAGGCAAGAAGTGTACAATGTTAGATAACAACCAGGTGTCAGTTTACGTCAGGCAAGAAGTGTACAATGTTAGATAACAACCAGGTGTCAGTTTACGTCAGGCAAGTGGTGTACAATGTTAG